AGGAACTGTAGACGACCATAGTTCACACATTCGTATAGACAGGCCTGCAGCAGCGCCGTACCGAGCAGGGCCGTTTCTAGGAATATTGGCGTCCAGGGCAAGGAGTTCCAATGGTGCCTCCCCCCCCCTGCCCTCCTACCTTCCTCCCGCAGGCGCAACGGGCGATCGCCCGCTTCGCCCGGCCCTAGAAACGGCCCTGGTACCGAGGATACTTGGCGCCCTGTGCGTAATATCCGTCCAACGCACCCCTCCCTCTGTACCTCTCCAGCTTCCACAGCACCAACTATACATTACGTATTAATTTCTATGTTTAATTTAGTTAAATTCAGAATAATTTGCAATTTTTTTAAAGTTTTATTGATATTTTATGATAATCCGGCAGCCAATCGGCACGTGCCGATTGGCTGCACCGCTCGCACACCCCTTGTTACGGCACTGGCCTGCGGCATAACTGAACCAGAGGTCCCATGGAGCCCCTTGACAAGCCGCACGCGAGGAAAATTGTCCCCAATGCCCTCCGCCCCCCTTCTAAGCGGCCCTGTGCATCAACGAGATATCTCCACTGAGTAAACCCTGTCCTTGCCTACGATACGGGTTCGATAGCAGACGACAGTCACGAGGACACAGGACCACAGGTCCCTCAGCTATTGGACATGTGGACCAATCAAAAACCCCTACGTTGAGTCACGTGACACCGAGGAGGAAGCATGGGGATTGGGGTTCGGCTTTCGGCGTCCGCGTGGCAACAAAAATCGCCAATTGCAGTGGGTACATGAACTAAACGTGTCGTGAGCCGATGCATCTTCTAAGGCCCGACGTAGGCCTTACATAAGGTGTTATTTCGGACTTATGACCTGGCCTAGTAGGTCTATGTAGCATCGATTGCCAGGCCTAAGAAGTGGATGAGCGAAGTGTTGGGCTAATGTTAGGCCTAAAAAAAGACATGTCATAGACCTAATAAGAGATCGGACATTAGCTATGGTTAATCGCTTGCACCAATAGATCATGTTCTCATTCACACGTTAAGATTTTCACTTGGCCAATTAATGAATCCACAATCCGTATTTCCTAACGTTAGGCTACCATTTAGCTTGCATTAACATTTCAGGTGTGAACTCTCAGTGTTGATGTAATCAATCGGCCCTCTTCCTTGTGGTTCAGGTAGGCGTAGGATCGGCCGTATTACTGCTTAGCTGGTTTGCTGGAAGGGTGTTGGCTGTGAAGTTGCTCAAGTGCTGAAGTTGTCGAACTGTCGATCTACAGCTCGGTTCACATCGGGACCCCTTCTTCATCGGAAGCCGAGCCAAACCCTTTCCTAAACCGCACTCCCACTCCACCCATCCAGCCAAATATTGCCAGGTGGTGGCTGACACGCAATCTGGTGCTCAAATTAATCATGGCAGCAGGAATACTACTTAGCATCGTTCTGGCCGTCTCCCTTTTCACCGGCACGTTTGCTTCCGAGAAGAAGGGGCCCAAAGTCACAGACAAGGTAACATGATATGCTTCCGAGTTGAAATTATCATTTTTTTCTCCAATATGTTTCACATGTCCTTCAGTTGTGTCTGTTCTGCATTGCACAATAGGTGTGGTTCGACATGTCCATTGGAGGCGAACCGGCTGGAAGGATCGAGATCGGTCTGTTTGGGAAGACTGTCCCCAAGACGGTGAAGAACTTTGTTGAGCTGGCCAAGCTTCCCAAGGGAGAAGGATACAAAGGGAGCATGTTCCATCGTATCATCAAGGATTTCATGCTCCAGGGTGGGGATTTCA